TCCCCCCCCTCCCCCTCCTCTCTCTCTCTCTCTCCCCTCGTGGAAGGAAGCTTAGCATTACGAATCGCGATACATGCGAGATTAAGAAACGACCTTCAATCGCGATTATCGAGAATTCGCGTTGTTCGCGGGAAGATTCTCTCAAACGCACACCCGGCTCTCGATCAAAAAGAGAAGAAGATCGATTATAGGCAACACACCGATAATCCGATATCCGCGCTTCGTGGCGAAAGACGGTGCGAGGCAGCCGCGCCGCGTGCATCAACAGTCATCGCCAGCACGTTTATCGCGTACACTTGGCACTATGCGGGTTGCGTTTCGCTCATTATCGATCGCGTGGCATGCGTCAATTATCAATATCCACTTTAAAACGTCGGCTTTTACCGCGTCTGACACGATTTCCATACGATTTTTTTCTCATCATTTCGTTCCTCTCTCCCATCGCTCTTTCTTGAGTTTTTAATCAGATATTAGCAATATGAATGACATTAAACGTTATAAATTGTTTGTTGAATCTATTCCCATATCGCCGCGAATTTTTGTGTCGATACGGAGTATTGAAAAATGTGTGTTAAATTTAACATTATATGAATATATTAAATAGTGATATCGATACTATTATAATTCGGAAAATTGACGTAATATAATTAACGGAAAATAACGACCAGGCTCGAACTTAGGATTCTTTATTTGTTTATAGGATTTGTTTATTACCCATGACACTTATTGTTAGTCCGCACGATCGCAACGGCTCTTTACTGGCGATATTTATTTATATTCGGAATCTCCTTCTCACTTAAAAATTGCTTACGGCCGTTTATCGTCTACGTATTAATATTTAAACAAAAAAAAAGTACTCTTGAGTTTAATTAGAAGTTCATCACATGTATAATTAAGATAATGTATAATTAACATAATTTTTGTGATAAAAGTAACATATAAGTAGCACGCAATCATTTCTATTTTTGTTATGCTAGAGTAATCAACATTTTTTTTCCTGTAAACTTTAACATATTTAATAAATACGTTACAAATTACGTTACTTCAATATTTTTTAAAATCATTTTAATAATTTTACATTTTATGTTCGTTCAGCTCAATTAACATAGCAGACATGTGTTAAATTTAAACACATAAATATATACATATACTTAATACAAAAACTTAACCAGTAAATTTTTTCACAAAAATACACAAATTTTCCAACTGTGTAACTACCAACTCGACTAGAGGCGGATTCACCTATCTCACGTTTAATATTCATAACTCGTAACGGACGAGCGCGACGTAACCGTGACTATGTAAGAAACGGGTGGACACTTCGTTCCCGGAGGAGGTCACTCGAGGCGCGAAACTCGCGTGAACGCGACGACGACGACTACGGCCGACGAAGACGACCAGTAGTTCCCAAGTTGCATTCCTACGCGACGAATGTGCGAGCGGGGGAGGACGAACGTAGATAGAAGGTAAAGATCGATAGAGGTTCGTCGACTCTTGCGACTGACCGACGACTCCGTACTCCGATGCCGATGGGTTTAGTTCATAACTTTCCCGGAGAACACGGAAGCCTTCGAACCGCGGTAGCATCGAGAGACCCGGATTTGCATAATTGTAAATAGCACATCAATAAATTTATAGTGGGACGAAACGATGCTTTTCGAAATAATGAACGGAACGTATTAAATTATTAATAGCTACCGCGAAATACGCGTGACGTTAATTCTTAATTCCTGATTAGGGCTTTCCATTATGTGAATTTACAGAGAAAAAAAATAATGTTTTTTCGTCGGAATTTAATATTATAAGTATCATAATATTTAAACCTAAATTAAAATTTCCCTAAAATTTCCCTAAAGTAGAAATCTTAAACGTCGACTGACGAATAATATTCTATTATCTATGTGTTTTTTCCAATATATTGACGTTTAAGCTGCAAAATTCCATTTAAACTAAACTTTCATGGAACTTAACATCGTTTTTTTCCTGTTAAAATTACCGTTCGATTTTTCCCGCTAAAATTCTAAAATTGGCCTCATGAATTACATAAAAATTTTTCATAATTATTATCAGCATAAATTTATCAAATAGTAAGAATTAATAGACTGCATAGTTTTCACCTTGAAATGAACAATTAGATTTCTTTTTATTTATTTATTATTATTTGTCTGTTTGATTATGTTATATTTTTCCTACTTTGTATGTTCTAAAGATTTTTTCCTCAATTGTTTGTTATATGGTAAAGGTGTATGAATCAAGCATTTGCAAGGTCGAATTGAATCGAATCGAATCGAATCGAATCTTTGATAACATATTCAAAATCGAATTAAATTTGATTCGATTCTGATTCGATTTGATTCGAACTATTTGCACACCTCTATTATATGAAAGTTAAATAAAGTCCGATAATTAAAGTCCGAAAGTTCATCTTCAAATTTTATATGGTTGTTTTATCGTTGATTTTATTTTTCCACTTTATTTCCAAATTTGGCCATTAATTCCTATTTTTTGTTATGCAAACATACGAGTCTATATTATTTTTTTATTTTATTTTCATCAAATAAGATCAATAAAATTTTTAGTAATATTTGATAAATTTGTAATGATAATACACCCCGTGTCATACACTCGCATGGGTAACGATTCGCGTCGAGCAACTTTAATTTCTAGGCTCGAGAGACATCCGCCATTTTTCTACTTTCGCAAATAGTACAACGTCGCACTTTCGAAAAATCTCGTGTTACTCACCCAATCTTTCACGCTCCGAGACACTGGAGGAACCGTTGTGCACCTTGCGCCTCTTCGCTTAATAATCCTATCACAGACTTTCCACCTTCCAGCAATCCGTTCGGCGCGCAGCAAGCCGAGGAGATCGCTCGGTCAATCAACGGCGAGGATCCGAATGTCTTCCTTCTCGAAGATTCGCAACGAGGCACAATAAACACGATTGTCACAGATAGGGCATGATCACGCGCGCGGTCGGACCGGCGACGGCGTCAGCGTTCGAATTTCCGCGAACTTTTCCTCCCACCGGAACAGGAGAGTGAGAGATCTCGGAATCGTCGGACCGATTAGACGCGAATCTCCCACGAATCACGCGACGTGCCACTTCACAGCATCCTCCGGCTGTTTTAAAAATTTTCGAACTTGCACTGATTGCAACGGTCGGCAGGTGGCGCCGGGACCAGGCCAAGGGCGCGGGCACGCACTCGCGCGTTTCGCGTGT